GGGTGGATAGACTGCATTTTCTTGGTCTGCAAGAAGACCTTCGACACAGTTCTTCACAAGAGGTTACTGCAAAAGCTAGAGGATCAGGCACACATAACAGGAAAGGCACCGCAATGGATCAGAGAATACCTGACAGGGAGGCAACAACGAGTCATGGTACGTGACGAGGTGTCAGAGTGGGCGCCTGTGACAAGCGGGGTTCCACAGGGGTCACTCTTAGGACCTGTGTTATTTTTGGTATATGTGAATGACATAACGGAAGGGATAGACTGAGAAATGTCCTTGTTTGCAGATGATGTGAAGTTAATGAGGAGAATTAAATCGGTCGAAGATCGGGCAGGTCTACAAAGCGACCTGGACAGGCTACAAGCCTGGCCGCCAACTGGCTCCTTGAATTTAACCCTGCGAAATGCAAAGTCATGAAGATCGGGAAGGGCAAAGAAGACCGCAGACACAGTATAGTCTAGGTGGCCAAAGACTGCAAACCTCACTCAAGGAAAAGGACCTTGGCGTGAATATAACACCGAGCACGTCTCCTGAGGCACACATCAATCAGATAACTGCTGCAGCGTACGGGCGTCTGGCAAACCTAAGGATAGCGTTCCGATACCTCAGTAAGGAATCGTTCAAGACTCTGTACACCATTTACGTCAGGCCCACACTGGAGTATGCAGCATCAGTTTGGAATCCACACCTGGTCAAGCACGTCAAGAAATTAGAGAAAGTGCAAAGGTTTCCAACAAGACTAGTCCCAGAGCTAAGGGGATTGTCCTACGAAGAAAGGTTAAGGGAAATTGGCCTGACGACACTGGAGGACAGGAGGGCCCGGGGAGACATGATAACGACATATAAAATACTGCGCGAATAGACAAGGTGGACGGAGACAGGATGTTTCAGAGGTGGGATACGGGAACAATGGGACACAATTGGAAGCTGAAAACCCAGATGAGTCATAGGAATGTTAGGAAGCATTTCTTTAGCCTTAGAGTTGTCAGGAAGTTAAATAATCTGGAGAGTGATGTAGTGGAAGCAAGTTTCCTACATAGCTTTAAGAAGAGGTATGATAAAGCTCATGGAACAGAGAGTGAATTAGTATTGACCAGTGAAGAGGAGGGGCCAGGAGCTATGAATCGACTCCTGCAACCACATGTAGGTGAATACACAGTCATGTATAGGCAAGTACATACATACACACGAACACACTAACATAAAAACTGCGTACCACAAACAAAATGAAACTACAATATTGGTAAATGGTCAATATGCAAAATAAGATGTTAGCTAAGACTTGCTAACACTGACGAGGGTAGAAACATTTTCTAGATTGTGCAATGCTGCAATTGCTTTTCAAGTAGCAGAACGTTATGTGAATTTAGAGTACGAAATATATACACCTGTATAAGATGACAGGATTCTAATTTGCATTTATGGAATATAAACTTGCACTTGGGTATAATAAACTGTACAATATTAACAGGTAATAGTTGGAAGACGTATAAAATGTTTTAATTCTTTAGCTATAAAAGTATTATTTCTTTATCATCAAAATAAGCGCTTAATCCGTAAGGGTCACACAGCTTTAATGGTGTGCTATACATATGTGCATCACGTGATGTCTATATAAATAACATATAATTTGATTGTGGAATCCTCCTCGTGGTGGTCAGCCATCAATTTTTTTTAAACCACACACATGTGGGATTTCTTTTCAAATCTAAGAGTTCTATTTTGTTTGAGAAACTTAGACAGCGATCTTGATTTCCCTACAGTGTTGAGTAGTGATTATTCGTAACTATAAAATGCTGTCGTACATAACTTTTGCATGTATGGTAGCCTAGGTGTAGGAGTAGATACTGTGTGTGTGTGTGTTTGTGTGTGTGTGTGTGTGTGTGTGTGTGTGTGTGTGTGTGTACTCACCTATTTGTACTCACCTATTTGTGGTTGCAGGGGTCGAGTCCTAGCTCCTGGCCCCGCCTCTTCACCGGTTGCTACTAGGCCCTCTCTCTCCCCGCTCCATGAGCTTTATCAAACCTCGTCTTAAAACTGTGTATGGTTCCTGCCTCCACTACGTCATTTTCTAGGCTATTCCACTGCCTTACAACTCTATGACTGAAGAAATACTTCCTACTATCTCTCTGACTCATTTGTGTCTTCAACTTCCAATTGTGGCCTCTTGTTTCTGTGTCCCCTCCTGGAACATCCTGTCTTTGTCCACCTTGTCTATTCCACGCAGTATTTTATATGTCGTTATCATGTCTCCCCTGACCCTCCTGTCCTCCAGTGTGGTCAGGCCGATTTCCCTTAATCTTTCCTCATAGGACATTCCCCTTAGCTCTGGAACTAACCTTGTCGCAAACCTTTGTACTTTCTCTAGTTTCTTGACGTGCTTTATCAAGTGCGGGTTCCAAACAGGTGCTGCATACTCCAGTATGGGCCTGACATACACGGTGTACAGTGTCTTGAATGATTCCTTACTAAGGTATCGGAATGCTGTTCTCAGGTTTGCCAGGCCCCCATATGCTGCAGCAGTTATCTGATTGATGTGTGCTTCCGGAGACATGCTCGGTGTTATACTCACCCCAAGATCTTTCTCCTTGAGTGAGGTTTGCAGTCTTTGGCCACCTAGCCTATACTCTGTCTGTGGTCTTCTGTGCCCCTCCCCCATCTTCATGACTTTGCATTTGGCAGGATTAAATTCGAGAAGCCATTTGCTGGACCAGGCGTCCAGTCTGTCCAGGTCTCTTTGAAGTCCTGCCTGGTCCTCATCAGATTTAATTCTCCTCATTAACTTCACATCATCTGCAAACAGGGACACTTCTGAGTCTAACCCTTCCGTCATGTCGTTCACATATACCAAAAATAGCACTGGTCCTAGGACCGACCCCTGTGGGACCCCGCTCGTCACAGGTGCCCACTGTGATACATCATTACGTACCATGACTCGTTGTTGCCTCCCTGTCAGGTATTCTCTGATCCATTGCAGTGCCCTTCCTGTGTGTGTGTGTGTGTGTGTGTGTGTGTGTGTGTGTGTGTGTGTGTGTGTGTGTGTGTGTGTGTGTGTGTGTGTGTGTGTGTGTGTGTGTGTGTGTGTGTGTGTGTGTGTGTGTGTGTGTGTGTGTGTGTGTGTGGATACTCACCTATTGTACTCACCTATTTGTGGTTGCAGGGGTCGATTCACAGCTCCTGGCCCCGCCTCTTCACTGATTGCTACTAGGTCCTCTCTCTCCCTGCTCCATGAGCTTTATCATACCTCGCCTTAAAACTATGTATGGTTCCCGCCTCCACTACTTCACTTTCTAGGCTATTCCACGGCCTGACTACTCTATGACTGAAGAAATACTTCCTAACATCCCTTTGATTCATCTGAGTCTTCAACTTCCAATAGTGACCTCTTGTTTCTGTGTTCCATCTCTGGAACATCCCGTCTTTGTCCACCTCGTCTATTCCGCGCAGTATTTTATATGTCGTTATCATGTCTCACCTGACCCTCCTGTCCTCCAGTGTCGTCAGGCCGATTTCCCTCAACCTTTCTTCGTAGGACAATCCCCTTAGCTCTGGGACTAGTCTTGTTGCAAACCTTTGCACTTTCTCTAATTTCTTGACGTGCTTGACCAGGTGTGGAGTCCAAACTGGTGCTGCATACTCTAGTATGGCCCTGACGTAAATGGTATACAGAGTCTTGAACGATTCCTTACTGAGGTATCGGAACGCTATCCGTAGGTTTGCCAGACGCCCGTATGCTGCAGCAGTTATCTGATTGATGTGTGCCTCAGGAGATATGCTCGGTGTTATACTCACCCTCAGATCTTTTTCCTTGAGTGAGGTTTGCAGTCATTGGCCATCTAGACTATATTGTGTGTGTGGTCTTCTTTGCCCTTCCCCAATCTTCATGACTTTGCATTTGGCAGGGTTAAACTCAAGGAGCCAGTTGCTGGACCAGGCTTGTAGCCTGTCCAGGTCTCTTTGTAGTCCTGCCTGATCCTCGTCCGATTTGATTCTTCTCATTAACTTCACATCATCTGCAAACAAGGACACTTCTGAGTCTATCCCTTCCGTTATGTCATTCACATATACCAGAAACAGCACAGGTCCTAGGACCGACCCCTGTGGAACCCCGCTTGTCACAGGCGCCCACTTTGACACCTTGTCACGTACCATGACTCTGTTGCCTCCCTTTCAGGTATTCTCTGATCCATTGCAGTGCCTTTCCTGTTATGTGTGCCTGATCCTCTAGCTTTTGCAGTAACCTCTTGTGAGGAACTGTGTCGAAGGCCTTCTTGCAGTCCAAAAAAATGCAGTCGATCCACCCCTCTCTCTCTTGTCTTACTTCTGTCACCTTGTCATAGAACTCCAGTAGGTTTGTGATACAGGATTTTCCTTCCCTGAAACCGTGCTGGTTGTCAATTATACACTTGTTTCTTTCCAGGTGCTCCACCACTCTCCTCCTGATGATCTTCTCCATGAATTTGCATACTATACACGTTAGTGATACAGGTCTGTAGTTTAGTGCCTCATGTCTGTCTCCCTTTTTAAAAATTGGGAATACATTTGCCATCTTCCATACCTCAGGGAGTTACCCAGTTTCAATGGATGTGTTGAAGATCTTTGTTAATGGCACACACAGCATCTCTGCTCCCTCTCTAAGGACCCACAGAGAGATGTTGTCTGGTCCCACCGCCTTTGAGGTGTCAAGTTCACATAGCAGCTTCTTCACCTCCTCCTTGGTTATGTGTACCTCATCCAGCACTTGTTGGTGTACCCCCTGTACTCACCTAGTTGAGGTTGCAGGGGTCGAGTCCAAGCTCCTGGCATGTATGGTAACCTAGGTGTAGGAGTAGATACTGTGTGTGTGTGTGTGTGAGAGAGAGAGAGAGAGAGAGAGAGAGAGAGAGAGAGAGAGAGAGAGAGAGAGAGAGAGAGAGAGAGAGAGTGAGTGAGTGAGTGTTGCGCAGTAGCTGGTGCGCACGTCAGGTGATCACTGTTTATCACGGCCGCTGAGACTCACACTAGTCACCATTCTATTGCGGGATCGCCTACAGTTGTTCCTGTAAGACAGTCTTCCTTCGGCTATACGCAAATCACCTCTATAATGGTAAGTTTTTTTTTTAACCTTTAGTAGAAAGATCGTCTGCTAGTTGTTGGGTAATATATGTTATTAACTGCAGGTGGGGGTCTAGAATATAATGCCTTTCACGAATTTTCTAATGCGCCGCCCCCGAAATTGGTGATGATGGTAGTGTCATCATGATGCTGTCATCCGAGATAAGTGTGTAGTAGGCGTTATTCAAAGATAACCCACTAGAACAAAGATTTCACAGCCTTGACTTATTTTATTAACTTTCTCCATGACAGCAGCCATCTCTTGACACTATATTTCACATATTTGACTTAGCTTTCGTGAAAGTTTTGAGAATAATTAGATAATCAGTTATTTTTAAATAGTCTTTATAAAAAAATATAAAAGTGCTTGAGGCTGAAGATGTGCAGTGTATCAAGGCGGTGATGTCATGCTTGTAAATCCAAATGTGATTTTAGCCATTATGTCATAATTTTTATTGTAGTCTTATTAATGGCATACAGTAGGATGTTATATACTACTGTTTGGTTTACTGGCTCATGCTGACAGTATTATTCACTCCCAATTATATCCATTGATAGACCAGTCAACCTGCCTGGAGTCTACTTGTCTACCTTAAGTGACAGTTCGTTCACTTAGGAAATGGATGAAATCCAGATTTAAGCAATGTCTTCTTGAAATACTGGATATTTAATATAAAATAATATATTCATTGTTCAGTATTTCTGTTCTATGTGGTTTGTTACAGGCATGCCTAAAATTTTTAATGAAAATACAAGTTTAGCCTATTTCTAAATGTGGTATAAAAGTAGACCTACGGAATACATTCGTCAATGAACGTGGTGATGACTTGAACATTACTGTTGCAGGAAATGCTAGTTTTGTATAACTGTGATAGGTAATGGGCTGTAGGTTTGGTACCCGTCCTCTTTACACAATGGTGTGGGGGAGACTACAACACTCATTCATCGTTCAGGAAGGGCGATACACTTCATCCTTCGATGTGAGTGTTGAGGGGGAGCTCACAACTCCACCCTCACTATGTTACTGTGACTTGGTCTACGCCCACACCCTCAAGAGTATTTAATGGTGGTAAGACACTTTTGAACTTTCCCTTTTAGAATCCAACCTGAGTTTCTCATTTTCCGGGGGTCAACGCCCCCGCGGCCCGGTCCGTGACCAGGCCTCATGGTAGATCAGGGCCCGATCAACCAGGCTGTTACTGCTGGCTGCACGCAATCCGACGTACGAGCCACAGCCCGGCTGGTCAGGTACCGACTTTAGGTGCTTGTCCAGTGCCTGCTCTGTGACACTTTCGAGTAAGCGCTCCCTCGTGAATATAATGTATGCCCACAAAGCTGGAAAATCCTAGAGGGACTAGTACCAAACTTGCACACGAAAATCACTCCCTACGAAAGCAAAAGACTCGGCAGATGGTGCAACATCCCCCTAATGTAAAGCAAGGGTGCCACTAGCATGATAAGAGAGAACACAATAAGTATCATGGGCTCAAGACTGTTAAACTGCCTCCCAGCATACATCAGGGGGGATTACCAATAGACGCCCTGGCTGTCTCCAGCAGGCGCTGGACAGGCACCTAAAGTCAGTACCTGGCCAGCCGGGTTGTGGTTCATACGTTGGGTTACGTGCGGCTAGCAGTAACAGCTGGTTGATCAGGCCCTGATCCACCATGAGGCCTGGGCACAGACCAGGCCGCGGGGGCGTTGACCCCCGGAACTCTCTCCAGATATACAGTGTGGCCGCCTACGTGGGCGTCAGCATGTGCATCGTAGCCACTCAAACTGATAACTATGCCATTGCCCACTCTTGCCCCAACTCCCGCATCTGGTGGAGATAGTGGCATGCTGCCGACGGTTGGTAACAAAGGCATGACTACAAATAAAGATCTTCACTACAATGTCTCCCTCCCTCCTCCCCAGTTCATACTCCACCGCCCCTTAGTTCCTGATCCGCCTCTCCCCACTTCTTAACCTAGTCCTCTCCCACATCTTATCTCGCTTCATCACTAACTCTAAATCTAATCTGTTACGCCAATCCAACTCTACGCTACTCCTCCCACCTCCAGCTAAAGGATAAAAAGGCTCAATGCCTTAACTAGAACAATACACAGTTAATCTGCATATTGGATAATGAAACATTGTTTTGGTCCGACTTGGACCATTAACTAGTCACAAATTACATTCGGGTTGTGTGTGTATACACTAACATCCCACCTCTTACCCTGCCATCCCATCTGTTACTCTGCCTTTCCCCAGTGCTTACCTCATATCACGTCCATACTCCACCTTATGCCACCCAGCGTTTTACCCTCGTCCCCAGCTCTTGCTCCTGTCCTGCCAAGCCCCAGCTCCTGTCCCGCCAAGCCCCAGCTCCTGTCCCGCCAAGCCCCAGCTCCTGTCCCGCCAAGCCCCAGCTCCTGTCCCGCCAAGCCCCAGCTCCTGTCCCGCCAAGCCCCAGCTCCTGTCCCGCCAAGCCCCAGCTCCTGGCCCGCCAAGCCCCAGCTCCTGGCCCGCCAAGCCCCAGCTCCTGGCCCGCCAAGCCCCAGCTCCTGGCCCGCCAAGCCCCAGCTCCTGGCCCGCCAAGCCCCAGCTCCTGGCCCGCCAAGCCCCAGCTCCTGGCCCGCCAAGCCCCAGCTCCTGGCCCGCCAAGCCCCAGCTCCTGGCCCGCCAAGCCCCAGCTCCTGGCCCGCCAAGCCCCAGCTCCTGGCCTGCCAAGCCCCAGCTCCTGGCCCGCCAAGCCCCAGCTCTTGCCCTACCATTCCCTTACAGCTTTGGTGGTCTGTTTCATCATCACTAATTTCTGCATCACCCATCATGTGGTTATCAGGATCACCATTTTCTAATAACTGTTGCCCTCGCATCTTCCTCTTTAACTTCTGTTTCTACTACCCTCTGAAGTGTATGATGAAAATCACTGGCCTTAAGCCCTTCTAAGTCCAGCTCAGTATCAAGGTTATATAATTATTTTTTCCAACCATTAGCTAATGTTGTAGTTTTCATTTCTTTCCATGACTCTTCATGGAAGAAACTGAAGGAACTTTTTAATGTAGATAATAAAGCCAGTGAAAAGCAGGGGCACCATGGGCCCAATAAGGGAACACTGTATCACCATATGTAGCCCCAGACTATTCACGTCTTACCAGAATACATCAAAAACACTGCTGGGGTAAGTGTAGACAGAGGAAACCAGACAAGTATCTTCACCAGGTGCCAGGTCAGCCAGACTGTGATGGATATATGGGCCACTGGGCTGCCAACAGCAACAGCCTGGTACACCAGATGAGCCTGGCCCAAGGCTGGTCTCTGATGTCTATACAAATCTTCGTCCTCCTCAATCACTATCAATGCTTCATCTGTGTACTTAGACTTGTACAGCCTCTTGCAGGCTGCAGTAACCCCCCAATCCATAAGTTGGATCAGGGAGGTGACATTAGGAGATGGAAACATGGCCTCAATTTTATAATAATAAATCTTTATTTCTACAAGCACATACATATACAAGGTATACAGGCCTAGCTGACATCAGTCACATACTACTATATGGAAAGCCACTTGTTATGCACAGCATTTTGGGCAAATTACATCAATTTTGTTCTGGGATGCAGCCCACTTTGCTCTGTGAAGATCTGTCCAGTGTGTTATCCATGAATCTGCACAAGATGTCCTCATTTGAGCAACTCTACCAGCAGCTAAAAGAGGAGCTCAGGGTTGCTAAGCTTGAGATATGGCGACGGAGGAAAACGATGATTTGAAGTAATCCTCCTGTTGCAAGTCCTCAGGTCAAGAGAGGAACCTGGTCAGTGGCCGACCAACATGGAACGAAGCTGAAAATCAAGAAGACTGTTGGAGTGGCGGAAACAGCGAAGATCCAGAAAACTGCTGTGGAGACTTCCAACCCATTTTCAGTGCTACCCGACGAATGTGTGTTGTCTACTGGGAATGTCACAATGAATACCAAGGAATCACTGGCAGATGAGGGTGAGTCGACATCTCTTGAAACCCCAACGAAGACCATTGAGAACGTCACTACGAACTCCACCAGTGAAGGTAAGAACATTGTTTTAGTTGGGGACAGTCAAGTGAAATTTATGGATAGGGCATTTTGTCTTAGAGACGGGAAGAGGAGGCAGAGAGTATGTTTTCCAGGGCTGGGATAGGGGATATTGTTAGTCGTCTGGACGATATCATGAAGGGTAATGGGAGCATTTTATTATCTGCCTCAGTGCGGGAGGCAATGATGTTGGCAGACGTAGGAGTGAAGGCCTGATTAGCAGGTATAGAACAGCAATAGAAATAATTAGGAGGAAGGGTGGGATCCCTGTGATATGTGGCATTTTGCCCAGGAGAGGAGTTAGAAATGAATAGTTGTCCAGGACAATTGGTGTCAATTGCTGGCCGGACAAACACTGTAAGGAAAATGCAACAACATTCATAGTCAACTGGGACCTCTTCTATGGCAGAAATGACATGTATGCCAGGGATGGGGTTCACTTATCTAGGTTTGGGGTGGGAACACTGGCTAACGCAGTGGAGGGAGCTGTTAGGTCTTTAAACTAGAAATAGATAGCGGTATGGGTTTTCACGAAAAATCAATGTATTCAGAGTGTAGTGATAGTGTGTGTTTTAAGGAATCCCGTTATAGGCAGAATGAAGTAGTTATTGGTGAACATAGGAAAGCCAATGGCATTAGGTGATAAGGAGAGTAACAGGCATAGTGAAGGAACAGAAATCAGCAGGAAGAAAAAAGAGAAGGGAGGGTTTCTAAAAATATATTATAGTCATAGTGCGAGAAATAAGATGGACGAATTGAGATTAGTTGCAAATGCGGGTAACATTGATCTTTTTGCCATAATCGAGACATGGTTTAATATTAAAAATAGGGACATCCCTGCTGAATGTCACATTCGGGGTTTTAAATTGTTCCGAGTAGACAGAAGTATTGATCATTTAAATTGTTGCATAAAAATGGGTATAAAGTCTGAAACACATACTGAGTCTGTTTGGGTAGAATTTTCAGAGGGGCATGAAAAATTGACTTTAGGTGTGATACACTGCCCCCCAAACTCGGATAGAGACCGAGGAAGACTACTCTGGGAGGAAATTGTTAAGGCCACAAGACATGATAATGTTGTAATTCTAGGGGACTTTTAACTTTAGTCATACTGATTGGAATTTCTTGACTGGGAATTTAGAATCTAACGACTTCTTAGAAGTAGTTCAGGATTGTTTTTTGAGGCAGTTTGTGACAGAGCCTACAAGGGGAAATAACCTGCTTGACTTGTTTCTGGCAAACAAGGAAACCCTTGTTTCAAATAGACCATCTGAAACAAAATAAATCACCAGGTCCTGATGAGCTTTTTTTCAAGGGTTCCTAAGGAATGCAAAATGGAGCTTTGTGAACCGGTAACTAATATTTTTAATTTATCTCTTCAAACAGGTGTAGTGTCTGATATGTGGAAGATGGCTAATGTAATTCCTATTTTTAAAGCAGGGGACAAGTCGTTACCTTCAAATTACCGCCCAATAAGCTTAACCTCAATTGTAAGCAAATTACTAGTCAATTATAGCTGAGATTATGAGAAGTCATCTGGATAAGCATAATCTGATTAATGATACTCAGCATGGATTCATGAGAGGCCGTTCCTGTCTAACTAATTTATTAACTTCTTCAGTGAAGCTTTTGAGGCTGTTGATCACGACAAAGAATTTGATATTGTTTATTTAGATTTTAGTAAGGCTTTTGTTAGAGTACTGCACCAAAGACTGTTAAAGAAAGTGGCAGCTCATGGCATTAGAGGAAAAGTGCTGTCATGGATAGTCATGGCTCACAGACAGGAAGCAGAGAGTGTCCATAAATGGGGTTAAATCCAAGTGGGGATCTGTAACAAGTGGCATTCCACAGGGATCATTCTTAGGCCCGTTGTTGTTTATAATATATATCAATGATCTTGATGAGGGAATTAATAGTGTAATGAGCAAATTCGCCGATGACAGAGTTAGGTAGGATAATCGATTCAAACGTAGATATCAGGGAGCTTTGGGAGGATTTAGACAAACTCAATACATGTAACTGGTCAGAAAAGTGGCAGATGCAGTTCAATGTAGATAAATGCAAGGTTATGCAGCTCGAGAGTGTCCACAACCTCAGCACTTAAAAGTTAAATAATGTAGAACTTAGCCATACAGATTGCGAAAACGACTTGGGGGTTATGATAAGCAGCAACCTTAAACCAAGACAGCAATGCCTGAGCGTACATAATAAGGCAGACAGTTTATTGGGATTTATATCGAGAAGTGTAAGCAACAGAAGTTCAGTGATTATATTACAGCTTTATACATCATTAGTAAGGCCTCACCTAGATTATGCAGCTCAGTTCTGGTCTCCATATTACAGAATGGACATAAATTCGTTAGAAAACATTCAGCGTAGAATGACTAAATTAATACATAGCATTAGAAATCTTCCTTATGAAGAAAGATTGAAGACCCTTAAATTACATTCACTTGTTAGACGAAGAATGAGGGGAGACATGATCGAGTGTATAAGTGGAAGATGGGTATTAATAAAGGGGATATTAATAAGGTCTTGAGAATATCTCTCCAAGAGAGAACCCGCAGTAATGGGTTCAAATTAGACAAGTTTAGATTTAGAAAGGATATAGGAAAGTATTGGTTTGGAAATAGGGTAGTGATGAGTGGAACAGTCTACCTAGTTGGGTTATTGAGGCTAAAACCTTGTGTAGTTTCAAATTTAGGTTGGATAAATACATGAGTGAGAGGGTTGGATTTGAGTGGTACTTGCACATGAGAGTGGATAGTTATCAGAGCTTTTCTTGGGTAGCATTGAAAATTGGGTTGGGCAAATGTTTTGTTAGTGGGATGGATTGTAAAGGACCTGCCTAGTATGGGCCAACAGGCCTGCTGCAGTGTTCCTCCTTTCTTATCCTAATCTTAATAATTCCAAACTAGTCATAAGTTTGCCTGTGATACTCAAATATAGAAACTATGTATTGTGCCAAAACAAAAGCATTCACATTGCTAAACTCACAAACTAGTATTTGTCACTTAGTATTTAGTCAACTTACTCGACAATTTGTTATAATTTAGGGTTAAGAATTAATCTAAGTTTGCCCAAAATGCCTAGCCATGCTAGGTGTTATAGTGGCCCCTCAATAATTAGTATTTTACTACATGTAAACCACACAATAACCAAAATCTGTAAACCCTGCATTGTAATCCTTATAGAGAATAAACTTTGATTTGATTTGATTTATGTTATGTTCTAACACCTAGGTACCTACTTTACTGATGGGTAAACATAGACAACTGGTGTAAGGAAACATGCCAATGTTTCAACCCTTGCCTGGAATCGAACCCAGACCCTCAGCTTGTGAAGCTAGAACTTTTGCCACCAGGCCACAGGCCACCATCTATGCTTAAATTTTCAGCCCTTGAGTGAGCAGATTCGTTATCAAGCAAAAGAAAAGTCTACATTCTCAGGATCTTGTTTAAGGACCCCTAACTGGTAGTATTTGCATAGTTCAGAGACAAAATGTGTAAAAAAGCCAAATGCTAAATACAGTGGACCCCCGCATAATGATTACCTCCGAATGCGACCAATTATGTAAGTGTATTTATGTAAGTGCGTTTGTACGTGTATGTTTGGGGGTCTGAAATGGACTAATCTACTTCACAATATTTCTTACGGGAACAAATTCGGTCAGTACTGGCACCTGAACATACTTCTGGAGTGAAAAAATATCGTTAACCGGGGGTCCACTGTATAGCCCTGCCAAACTAGCATTTCTTACCCATGTTACAATTTACTGGAAACTCGTTCATGTAAGCCTTTAAAGCACAAGGTTATGCTGATTTGCCTTTGACCATCCATTTCAAATGATGATAACCATCAGTATTAGCACAGCATAATACCAAGAAGCAGTATTTGGTCATCTTATGACCTGGTATTCTGCCTTCATACTGAAAGATTAGTGTGTTGGGAGCAAATGCCAAAAAAGACCAGTCTCATCAGCATTATACATTTGAGATAGGAGGAGCTACTCACTGTTTATCAGATCCTTTAATATCTGAACAGGTTATCTTGGTTCGTGGGTGAACTACAAGTCTCACCATAAGTCTTCTTGTTTCTCAAGCTATGGCGATTATGGAAATATCAAATCTGACCATCAATCACTTGTTTGAAATTCTGTTCAAATGTTTGCTAGCTAATGAGCAAAGATCAACACCATGAACATAAACACCAACAGAGCATTGCTTAACATGCCAGTTATATACTGCTTCTTGAAGCTTGTTTTGTGGGACATTTTCATATGCTTTCTTGAACCATTTGTGGAATCCTTATGGATAGCATCTACACTTAATTTAACATCATAGGCTGTAAGTTTGTCCTTGTTACTTGAGATCGAACACTTTTTTAACAAATTATTCATCTTATACCCGTGCCAATGAGATACCAGACTCGACCTTCATTAATGTCATACAGAATGCTCTAAATCCAGAGAACATTAAAGGTTGAATGATGAGTGTATGAGTAAACAGTAAACTGGTTCAAGTGGCCTACTGCTTGGGGAACAGCGAAAATGGATGGGTCTTGGACATAGCTACTTTGGCTCATACCATACAAATGTGGCATCCTAGATATGGCTGCTTTGGCCCATACCTCACAGACATTGGAGTTGGTGGATTTGGCTACATAATTCAGAAAGCAACCACTACTATTGCTACAGACAAAATGAGAAATTAGACTTTTGCTCATTTTGCTCAGTTAGGGCATTTGGCCCTATTGGATGAAAATTGTTACCAAGAGGTTTCAGTGTGTTTAAATACTAGTGACTCCAGTGTCTTCATGAGAGATGTAAGGTGCCACCAATGGAAATAAGTCACTCTGTCTGATTTTTTTGGGTTATCCTAGGTTCTCTACACATATGCTGCTGTGTATGATAATTCTATGTAACTGTATTTGTGTATACCTGAATAAACTTACTTACTTACTTACTTACCTTCACTGCTGTTAATTTGTTCACTAGTTAGTAAGAGGTATCCTAAAACAAAGGGACATGTATTGAGTGACAGTTATCAATAAGTTGAGAATTATTTGGTTTTTAGACTTTGTTGACCCCAAAAATAATTTAAGTGCTTGATCATTTTGTTTTAGGATCTTCACTATTGATAAAATGTAAAACTTTAATTCTAGTATACTTATTATACAAGCATAGTTTGATAATTAAAGAAAAGTTAACACATACGCATTCATTATGAACTTAAATTAATACGTATACTGTAGTCTGCACTACTGTCTTCCAGGTTTGGTCAAGCATAACATTTTTTTGTTTTTTTATTTATTTAATTTTGGAACTTTCCACAGCGTGAATGTATCTCAGTCCATGTGGGCCAAGCTGGTGTCCAGATAGGAAATTCCTGCTGGGAGCTTTACTGTTTGGAGCATGGTATCCATCCTGATGGCCAGATGCCTTCTGACAAAAGTGTTGGAAATAATAATGATTCCTTCAACACATTTTTCACTGAAACTGGTGGTGGAAAACATGTCCCAAGGGCAGTTTTTGTAGATCTTGAACCAAGCGTCATAGGTGAGTTTTTTTTTTTTTTTTTATAATTTATAAAATACAGTACAGGTCTCCCTCAACATTCGCGAGGGTTAGGGGATCAAGAGCCTCATGAATGTTGAAAAATCGCGAATGTTTGGTTCCCCAATATATTGTAGGGAAATCTACAATACTGCTTCCTTAACTTGTTGAACCATGAACAATCATAAAATACATGAAAATGTTGTAAAATATTGTACTAAATACACGTTATGGTTTAATAACATGTATGTTATTAAATACCACTGCCTCCACCAGTGCCTCAACCACTGCAGCGCACTGCTCGTATTTTGGTACAATTTCTTTCTTCAATTCTATCGTGTTTCTCAATTTCTTTACCAAAGGGCTGGCACTAGAAAGTTTCTTTGGGCCCATGGTTAATTATGTGGCAGTCGCACTTGATCTACAAGCACCAAACACAATGAATTATTGTGAAACGTTTGGAAGAGCGTGGAGACTAATGCTCGCTCCAGCATAAACAAAGCCACACTGACTGACGATGCCTCAGCCCCTTCCTCCACCACTGCTTCAACCCTCGTATTTTTGTACAATTTCCTTCTTCAATTCTATCATATTATTATTATTATTAATACGATAGAATTGGAGAAGGAAATAGTACAAAAATACCAGGGTTGAAGCAGTGGTGGAAGAAGTGGTTGAGGCATCGTCAGTCAGTGTGGCTTTATTTATGCTGGAGTGAGTAATAGTCTCCACACTCTTCCAAACATTTTACAATAATTCATTGTGTTTGGTGCTTGTAGATTGAGTGTGACTGGAGTGGTAGAGGCAGTGGTAGAGGTAGCGGTTGAGGCAGTGGTTTTTAATAACATGTTAATAATAATAATAATAATATGATGTTATTAATAACAACATGTATTATTATTATTAATAACATATATCTTATTAAAAACTGCTGCCTCAACCGCTGCCTCTACCACTCCAGTCGCACTCAATCTACAAGCACCAAACACAATGAATTATTGTGAAGTGTTTGGAAAACTAATGCTCACTCCAGCATAAATGAAGCCACACTGACTGACGATGCGTCAACCACTTCTTCCACCACTGCTTCAACCCTCATATTTTTGTGCAATTTCCTTCAGTTCTATCGTATTATTATTATTTTTTTTTTTTTAACAAGGTGGCCGTCTCCCACTGCGGCAGGGTGACCCAAAAAGAAAGAAAATCCCCAAAAAGAAAATACTTTCATCATCATTCAACACTTTCACCTCACTCACACATAATCAGTTTTTGCAGAGGTGCTCAGAACACAACAGTTTAGAAGCATATACGTATAGAGACAGCATATCCCTCCAAACTGCTAATATCCCGAAACCCCTCCTTTAGAGTGCAGGCATTGTACTTCCCATTTCCAGGACTCAAGTCCAGCTATATAAAAATAACCGGTTTCCCTGAATCCCTTCACTAAATATTACCCTGCTCACACTCCAACAGATCATCAGGTCCCAAATACCATTCGTCTCCATTTACTCCTATCGAACACGCTCATGCTTGCCTGCTGGAAGTCTAAGCCCCTCGCCCACAAAACTTCCCTTACCCCATCCTTCCAACCTTTTCGAGGACGACCCCGACCCCGCCTTCCTTCCCCTACAGATTTGAATGCTCTCCATGTCATTCTACTTTGATCCATTCTCTCTAAATGACCAAACCACCTCAACAACCCCTCTTCAGCCCTTTGACTAATACTTTTATTAACTCCACACCTTCTAATAATTTCCACACTCTGAATTTTCTGCATAATATTTACACCACACATTGCCCTTAGACAGGACATCTCCACTGCCTCCAACCACCTCGTCGCTGCTGCATTCACAACCCAAGCTTCACACCCATATAAGAGTGTTGGTACCACTATACTTTCATACATTCCCTTCTTTGCCTCCATAAATAACTTTTTTTGTCTCCACATATACCTCAATGCACCACTCACCTTTTTTCCCTCATCAATTCTATGATTAACCTCATCCTTCATAAATCCATCCATGACACATCAACTCCCAAGTATCTGAAAACATTCATTTCTTCCATACTCCTCCTCCCCAATTTGATATCCAGTTTTTCTTTATCTAAATCATTTGATACCCTCATCACCTTACTCTTGTCTATGTTCACTTTCAACTTCCTACCTTTACACACACTCCGGAACTCATCCACTAACATTTGCAATTTTTCTTTAGAATCTCCCATAAGCACAGTATCATCAGCAAAAAGCAACTGTGTCAATTCCCATTTTGTTTTTGATACCCCATAATTTAATCCCACCCCTCTCCCGAACACCCTAGCATTTACTTCTTTTACAACCCCATCTATAAATATATTAAACAACCATGGTTACATTACACATCCCTGTCTAAGACCTACTTTTACCCGGAAGTAGTCTCCCTCTCTTCTACACACCCTAAACTGAGCCTCACTTTCCTCATAAAAACTCTTTATAGCATTTAGTAACTTACCACCTATTCCATATACTTGCAACATCTGCCACATTGCTCCCTACTTTTACCCGGAAGTAGTCTCCCTCTCTTCTACACACCCTAACCTGAGCCTCACTGTCCTCATAAAAACTCTTTACAGCATTTAGTAACTTACCACCTATTCCATATACTTGCAACATCTGCCACATTGCTCCCCTATCCACTCTATCATATGCCTTTTCTAAATCCATAAATGCATTAGAAACTTCCCTACCTTTATCCAAATACAGTGGACCCCCGCTTAACGATCACCTCCAAATGCGACCAATTATGTAAGTGTACTTATGTAAGTGCGTTTGTACGTGTATGTTTGGGGGTCTGAAATGGACTAATCTACTTCACAATATTCCTTATGGGAAAAAATTCGGTCAGTACTGGCACCTAAACATACTACTGGAATGAAAAAAGTTCGTTAACCGGGGGTCCACTGTACTGTTCACATATATGCTTCAATGTAAACACTTGAACTACACATCCCCTACCCACTCTGAAACCTCCTTGCTCATCCGCAATCCTACATTCTGTCTTACCTTTAATTCTTTCAGTAATAACCCTGCCATACACTTTTCCTGGTAAACTCAGTAAACTTATTCCTCTAATTTTTACAATCTCTCTTGTCCCCCTTCCCTTTATATAAAGGGACTATACATGCTCTCCGCCAATCCCTAGATACTTTCCCCTCTTTCATGCATTTACAGTGGACCCCCGAGTTTAGGCAGCATCAACTTTCGTGAAATTCGACTCGGCAAGTTTTTTGGGCAAAATTTGGCCTCGAGTTTCGTGATTAGACTCGTGATTCGGCAACCGTCCAGTACCTGTCCGCCCGTCACCACGCACACAAAGCCAGTCTCCCATGCCATTCACGCTCAGTGTGCCATTGTTTACCAACACATGACCATCACCCCACGGGTTCATACATAATAATCCATTGTTTTTTGTGATTGCAACTGCTAAATAAGCCACCATGGGCCCAAGGAAAGCTAGTGCAAGCCCTTTGGTAAAGAAAGTGAAGAACACGATCCAGGGGGATTTTGAAGGGTTTGAGGCAGACCCTGACCCTGCCAACCCTCTGCCTGTTATGGAAGTGTGTTGTGGCATTGGGCAAGTCCATGGGGTTGGAGGTGAGTGATGGGGATGTGGAAGAGTTGGTGGAGGACCACAGGGAAGAGCTAACCACTGACGAACTGCAAGAGCTTCAACTGGAATAGCATCAGACCACAGCTGAGGAACTTGCTTGAGAGGAGGAGGAAAAGAGAGTGAAGGAGGTGCCTTCTTCGGTGATTAAGGACATGTGTTCAAAGTGGAATGAGTTACAAAGTTTTGTTGAAAAGTATCACCCTGATCAAGCTGAAACAAGCCATATCTGCAACATGTTCAGTGACAAATCCTTGTCCCACTTTAGGCAAATCATAAAGAAATGCCAGAAACAGACCTCTCTGGACAGATATTTTGTGCGACAGGGGTCCAAGTTGTTCCCAGTGGCATTAAAAGAAGAAGGGAAGTAACCCCAGAAAAGGACTTGCTACCTGGAGTCCTAATGGAAGGAGATTCTCCTTCCAAACAATAGTGTACACCTTCCTCCTATCCCTTCCTTCCGTCTTCCATCCACCCAGAAGTCTTCAGTGAAGGTAAGTGTAATGTTATTATTATTTTTTATATGCATGTACTTGATTTCTGATTGTTTTAAGTATGTAAATCTTTATTTAGTTTGAAAAAAAAAATTATTTTAATATTTTTAGGTGTGTGGAACGGATTAATTTTATTTCCTTTATTTCTCATGGGGAAAATGGTTTCGAGTTTCGTGAATTTCGACTTTCGGCAGGCTCTCTGGAACAGATTAATCACGAAACTCGGGGGTCCACTGTATTATTATTATTATTATTATTATTTTTAGCAGTAGCAGATATGTTTGATTCTTTGCCATGTTCAAGAGTAAACATATGATGTCACCGTCCAATACCTGTCCGAATAGCCATTCCAATATTCGGTCATGAATGGGTTGACATTGTTTATACTGTAGTTTAATAGCAAATAATGAACAAACAAAACACTCACCACACTGAGTGGTGGGAGGGCTGGCTGCCAGTTGTGGGGGTTGGAGGGAGGGTAGTAGAGACTCGTGGGTGGCGGGAAACTTAAATATGATTTGGCGGTTGGGAATTCATGAATGTGTGAAGCCCACGAAAGTTGAAAACGCGAATGTTAAGGGAGACCTGTAATACATAGAAATGAAATTAACACACATTTCCTTTAACCTTTTCAGTGACAACTCCTAGATCATTCTTAGTTTGATTCATTTAGTTCTTTATTATTCATGTGGTCTCATTACTTTCATTTCTTTTACATAGCTCTTTTCTCCCATTTCATTTACATAGCTCTTTCTACCTCAGTAGAATTACTGAATTCATTAGTCTTCTTGCAATGCTTTAGTAATTTTTTATTGCTAAATTTTCATGATTTTATTCCTTTTGCTAGAGTGTTTGTATATAA